TTAAGGAATGATTTTTATTTTTTCAACATTTATGAGGTCATAACAACAATGGGTTTATGGACATATTGAATGAATCGCGTTAGCGATTCATGTAAAATATGTCCAAAAACCCATTGTTGTTATGACCTCATAAATGTTGAAAAAATAAATATCATTCCTTATATTTACATTGACGAATCCTTTCAGTGGATCGATATAACAACGAATAAAACAAATAAACAGGGTTTGTTCCTGCTTATACACGGGTGCAACGCAGTGGCGAGAACAGTGTTTTTTCGCGGGGAAATGTGACACTATCGTGAGAGATCTTAGCAACCGTCAACAACAATAACACAACAAAATGTAGTTCCATATTCAATGTTTATTTGTAGCACAGGACACGTGAATACGTGGATATTTCACAAAGCACAGTTCAATAATATTTTAAGATGTAAGAATTAAGCATCTAGGTCGGTCGTTCCGAGTGAGTAGTTTTTGTAGTGTATTACTACGCAGTGTGATCAGGTTACTATCAGTTCCCACGTGCTGAGATTCTATGAACACCTGTGTTATGCATTTATGAATGTAATTTTTGTCAATGGGTCTAAGCATACAGAATGTAAATATATACAAATACTGATTGGATATTACATAATTTTGGAATTCGTTTACAAATATATAAAATGACACAAATAGTTTTTATTCGATAATAAGATGTTTTATAATTTTGTATTTACTTGTGTAAACTAATATGTATGTTCCAACATGGCAGGACTGAACAAGGAATTGCAAGACTACTTATCAAGAAGTTCTGTAAATGGGTCTTCAGAAGCAGACGACAGGGGGAATTCTGGTGGATTTAGTTTCGGAAAGTTAAATGTATTTAAGAAGTCATCAGAGGAAGCACCATTGAACAATGATGACGTGGCCAACAGCTGGTTTTCGCAAGCACAGAGAGACCCTCTCCTGCCAAGTCTGGTAAAATAATAACACAAAAATATGGCATTACACAGGAATATACAAAATGTGTATTTAAAAAAAAAAAAAAAAAAATGATAAAGGGATGCCACACAAATCTTTTAAGCTTACGTTGTAAATGAATACAAACGACTTTGACAAAAAGACACACTCCTAACACTAGTAGGTAGGGGTGTGAGGTCGTTTCGCCCTAAATCCTGTTCTTCTTCTTCCATTTATTGCGGCATATCTCATAGATATGAGTGCAGTAATGCCGCAATTTTTGTTAGCCCTTTAATATTTTTGGGGTGATTTTTTTTTAGTCCTGTGTGCTAATTTATATAAGAGTCTAAAGTTTTTCTAGGTCTCCCTTGTTAAAAGACTCGTTAGATTGGTATACGTACATGGTCGACCAGACCTGATGTTCTGTACATACAATGTAGCATGAAATTCTTTCGACAAGAAATTTGCTTGTGAAACCACGGGCTTGGATCTTACAACCCGTGGTGAAACGTGAAAATAGTAAATAAAAATAGTAATTAAAAACATTTCAACAGATAATCATAACTTTAAAATATATAATTATATTAGGGGGAAACAACATTTGGCGAACTGGATTTAGGGTGAAACGACCCGAAGTGCAAACAGGATTTAGGGCGAAATAACCTGGATCCTTTAAAAGGACGTAAAACACAAGCAAACCAAGTGACGCTCATATACCAAGCAAAAATTACCATTACCAAGTGAGCTAATATGCCTCTATGGTGTAGCATCTAATCTTTCTCTTCAAACAGATCTTCAAAAACCCTGATTCCTATGATCATGATGTCGCTGAGTAAGGTGTTATCTAAAATCAGGTTTTTTAAAGCAGAACATGATTAGCACTATCAAATTTATGCAAATAGACACCTAGACTGACATTTAAGGTCACAGTTGTCAACGCAAATGCATCAATATCTTTAAACAACTTAAGCATGACCGTCGATCACTCAGTCTAATTCCACTACATTCCTCCTTCCTTATTCTTAGTCTTTGCCCCCAAAGACAACACTATTTACAGGCCAGGTTCGGTATCCCCTTGTCAAGTATTCACTCAATACTTGAAACAAGGGTTCATCAACGGCACCAAATGTAACAGGAGAAGAAAAATGCATGGTCAGACCCGGGTTAAAACCTGTAACCCTCCGAACTCTTAGACAGATGTTTGGCATGTAGCAAATGGGATGATGTACTATCAAATTTGTTCAAATTAATTACCTTGATTTTCATTCAAAGTAATATGGTTCAAATGTATTAAAAACCTTCAAATGATTTCTATAGTCTAAACAATCCTAGAGTGATGATATATGGACTGAAAGTTGACATGGGTTGTATCAGTCAAAAGTCTTAGTTGACCTCTTACAAAGAACCACAATGCTTGTGGTAAAAATGAAGTGAATGACCTTTAAGTACTTGACCAACTTTCAAACTTGCAGACTAAACAAATAGGGCATGGTTTAAATGTATGGTAGGGAGAATGTGTACCTCTAGATCAATCCATTTTATTAGGTTACCTGACCATAGGTCATGGTGACCTATTGTGATAGCCTTTTGTTCGTCGTCGTGCGTTAACTTTTCCTTGTGAACACAATAACTTCAGTAAATGTTAACCGAGTTTGAGGAAACTTTGTATGCAGCCATATATCAATAAGATCTCGGACGAGTTCGAAAATGGGATTTATTGGACAGTAACTTACAAGAGTTATTGCCCTTTGTAATATTATTATTATTGGACCTTGTGAACACGATAACTTGAGTAAATGTTAACCGAGTTTGATGAAACTTTGTATGCAGCCATATATCAATAAGATCCCGGATGAGTTTGAAAATGGGAATTATTGGACAGTAACTTACAAGAGTTATTGCCCTTTGTAATATTATTATAATTGGACCTTGTGAACACGATAACTTGAGTAAATGTTAACCGAGTTTGATGAAACTTTGTATGCAGCCATATATCAATAAGATCCCGGACGAGTTTGAAAATGGGAATTATTGGACAGTAACTTACAGTTATTGCCCTTTGTAATAATATTATTATTGGACCTTTTGAACACGAGAACTTGAGTAAATGTAATGGAAAATGGGAATTATTCGACAGTAACTTACAGAGTTATTGAACATTGTAATAATATTATTATTGGACCTTGTGAACACAATAACTTCAGTAAATGTTAACCGAGTTTGAGGAAACTTTGTATGCAGCCATATATCAATAAGATCTCAGACGAGTTTGAAAATGGGAATTATTGGACACTAACCTACAAGAGTTATTGCCCTTTGTAATTATATTATTATTGGACCTTTTGAACACGAGAACTTGAGTAAATCTTATGGAAAATGGGAATTATTCGACAGTAACTTACAGAGTTATTGAACATTGTAATAATATTATTATTGGACCTTGTGAACACGAGAACCTGAGTAAATGATAACCCAGTTTAATGAAACTTTGTATGCAGCCATATATCAATAAGATCTCTGACGAGTCCGAAAATGGGAATTATTGGACAGTAACTTACAGAGTTATTGCCCTTTGTAAAAATATTATTATTGGACTTTGTGTACACGAGAACTTGAGTAAATATTAACCGAGTTTAATGAAACTTTGTATGCAGCCATATGTCAATAAGATCTCGGACGAGTTTGAAAATGGGAATTATTGGACAGTAACTTACAGAGTTATTGCCCTTTGTAATAATATTATTATTGAACATGGGAACACGAGAACTTGAGTAAATGTTAACTGAGTTTGATGAAACTTTGTATACAGCCATATATCAATAAGATCTCGGATAAGTTCGATAATGGGAATTATTCGACCGTAACTTACAGAGTTATTGAACATTGTAATAATATTTTTATTGGACCTTGTGAACACGAGAACTTGAGTAAATGTTATAGAAAATGGGAATTATTCGACAGTAACTTACAGAGTTATTGAACATTGTAATAATATTATTATTGGACCTTGTGAACACGAGAACTTGAGTAAATGTTATGGAAAATGGAAATTATTCGACAGTAACTTACAGAGTTATTGCCCTTTGTAATAATATTATTACACTATTTTGTATTGGACCTTGTGTTCACGATAACTTGAGTTAATATCAACAAGTTTGATGAAACTCTGTATGTAGCATTATATAAAAAAAAACTCGGATGAGTTCGAAACTCGGAATTATTTGACATTAACTTACAGAATTATTGCCCTTTGTAATAATATTATTATTGGACTTTAAGAACGCGATAACTTGAATAAATGTTGACGAAGTTCAATGAAACTTTGTCCGCAGTGTTACATCTAAAAGATCTCGGACAAGTTGACAACGGTAATTATTTGACGGTAGCCTGCAGAGTTATTGCCCTTTGTCATTATATTATTATTTTTCCCTGTGAAGACGATAACTTGAGTAAATGTTAACAAAGATTGATGAATAACTATGTAAGGTATGGTCAAATTGGTCCGGTATTCAAACTCATCCAAGATCTCATTGATACAAAGCTGCATACAATGTTTCATCACAATCGGTTCATATTTACTGAAGTTATTGTGTTCACAAGGAAAAATTAATGGACGATGCAGCAAGGTCACTCAGACCGAAGAAAAGTATTAATTGGCCCCTGGATGACAGTCCTAATTTGAATCGGATGTCAGGTGACCGTTAAGGCCCATGGGCCTCTTGTCATTATGTATATGTAGTAGGGAGATTGAATGTTTCTAGATGTATTTCAATCTTTTCAAATGTGTTCTTGCTTGAATAATGTTTAAAATAAATAGACAAGAATAACAGATGGCAATTTTTTTTATTTTTTTTTATTTGCAGACTAAGAAACAAAGGATACTTGGATTTGTCATTTGCTTAATGATGGGGACATTTTGTTTTTCTTTGGTAAGTATGACTGAGTTTTAATACCTGTGTTAGCACTCCAACACGTGTGCAAAAAACTTCAGATTGTGCAACTGTAGGCAGAAGAATTTTTTGATAAATTTAATTTGATATTTTGTGAAGATTAACATGATCAAGTGTTTGTTTTTAGAAAAAATATATATATGTAGGCAGAAGAAATGTTTGATAAATTTAATTTGATTTTTTGTGAAGATTTACATGATCAAGTGTTTGTTTTTAGAAAGAATATGTATATGTTAAATATTATTGATTAATCAGATATCTATTTGCAGGATTTTTTTCAGTGGTTATAATTTCATTTTAGTGCATGTATATTCTAAAACAAAATTTGTATCCTTGACAATTGAACTAAATAAAAATAGTTATGAACAGATTAACCCCACATCCTATTGTTGATTTTAACATATCCATGAAAACCTCTTATTTCAGGCAAGTCTTTACATTCCATTACTGTTGCTGAAAGCGAGAAAATTTGCTGTTCTGTATTCTATGGGAAGTGTATTTGTCATTGCTAGGTAAAGTGATTATACAATGTATTATATCAAATATTAAAACTGAAGTAAAAATTTATTAATTTTCACTGATAAGTATTTTCATAATATTGCCTCAAAAACCAATACATGAGAATTTAATTCCTGAGTGAATAATTGCAAATGCAATTAATTTTATTAGGGTGGTCTCTAATACAGATTGCACCAAATAAATGTTTTATAATTAAAATGTGTTTGACTAAATATTAAGGAGATATTTGAGCTTGTGACCGTCTTCTCAAAATATGAACTTCACATAAATATATTATTTTTATAACAGAAGGAATGGTCAAGATAGTTAAGTGTACACTTAATTGTTCTTTGATATCAAAGTTAAATTAGGCTTTCTGAATATTTTAATGTGACTATGAAGTATATTTAAATATGTGTGTATATTTAACTTTTCACTATCCTGCCTACAGCTTTTCATTATTATGGGGCCCGATGAACCATATTAAACACCTATGTTCAGTGGAGCGTATGCCATTTACAGTTGCCTATTTTGGGACCATGTTTGCAACACTATATTTTTCTTTATGGGTGAGTAACATCAATGGCTCCATATTGTATTTAAAACATCACCGAATACTGTTTATGACGATGGAACTAAATTTGTATCAGGTATTTATATATCACAGTACTAATTGTTAAATCAAGGAAGTGAAAAATGTGTCACTTTCTACTAGAAATATATCTCAATGAAGAATTTTCTCTAAAACCAAAATTTCTTCATAGGAAAATCATTGTTTAGAATAAAGGAAAAATATACAGAGCAGGGGAATGTTTGAGAAGCTGGATTTTAGGACTTGTACTGGTGTTGGGAATCGTTTGAAATTTGATGGTAGATCATTGGTTATAATTAGCTAACTGATGATTGATTAGTAATCATTTAAAAAAAAGAACTGTGAAATCCCCCATGCTGTTGTTGCACATTGTTTCAGTAGGCATGGTAGTCTAGTGGTAGGATGCCGGGCTCGTGCCCAAAGGGTTGCGGGTTCGAGTCACGGCACGGCACTGTGTTGGATCTTTGAGCAAGATACTTTACTCCGTTGTTCCAATCTACTCGGCTGTAAATGAGTACATGGTTGGGCATTGCTAAAATTATAGAATGCTAGCTGTGAGCGCCGAAATGGCAGCACCAGCTGTATGCTCCCCAGGGAGTTGAGAAAGATATTGGCTAGTTGCAAAGGCCCTATAACCACGGATAATAATTTGTTAAACGCTTTGAGACGACCGCAAACTAGGTTGTGATAAAGTGATATGATAAGAACCCAAATTATCATTATAAATTATTATTTTACCATGTAAGAACTACCTCCCTTAGAACACTGAATATGTAATTCATGGTCTTAAGCAGCCATGGGCAGCTTGAAAGTTAAGTTAGTCGGTGATGATGCCAACATATCAGCTGCAAATAAAAATCAGCAGACTTCCAAATCAAATATGAATTCTGTAGTTGATTATCAGTTCATTGACCTAACCAACCAGTATTCAACAAAATTGATGAATTGAAACACTCCTGAATTATACAGTGTCCTTTTTTCATTAGAAAACATAGTTTCTTTGAAAACTGATGGCAATCTTTTTGAAAATCTACCTGAATCTGTCATTAGGAGATAAAATACCTGTATCTTTGTCCCAGCACAAGGATCCTGAATGTTTTGTTATAAAACAAAAATCATTTAACTAACCTCTATGCTTTATTTTTTCATAATTAACAAATAATGTTAGGGAAGGGAAAATTAGCTCAACATATAATATTTAAAATCTTCAATAACTTATGACTACATCTTGTATATAATATATCCTTATTCGTTGGCAGGTCAGAAGTACAACCTTTACAGTATTATGTGCTGTAGGACAAATCCTTGCTCTTGTGTGGTAAGTTGTTTATAACATTATGTGATAGGTATGAATCAAATCCTGTGGAAGTCCTCATCACTCCTTTCTTTGCTTAATTTGAAAATCATGGCCTCTTTAATTTGCAGGCTTAAATTTGGTAATGACAATAACACTTACATAGGTAACTGTAAAAAGGAATATATTTTGCAAAGTTCCGAAGATTTCTGTATGCCAGTTATTTCATTTTATTGAGGCCTGACTTGATGTAACTGCCTTAACCCATTCACCCTTAAACTCACATTTGAACCTTACCATATCAAAGACTGGGCAAGTCCAGTTTAAAAATGTAGGGGTGAATGAGTTAAAACTGGTCTGTCAGCCTAAATAAACTAAAACTCTTGGCATATCCTACTAAATGTTCAATACCTATTTCACATCTGTTAAGTTAGGTTTCAATAATATTCTCCATGTAGCAAAGATACTTATCAATATTTACCAATAGGTGCTTTTTAATTGAACTGTGTTAGAGCTGCAAGTAATTTTGTTATTTTTTCCACAGGTACATAGTGAGCTATATTCCAGGAGGCCAGACTGGAATGAAGTTTTTCTCAAAAATATTTTATGTTGCTGCATCAAAGACAGTTCAAAAGACATTGCCCATATGAAAGAGAAAATGTGATTGGTTTAAGTTACAATGGCTGTGATTGGTGAATATAGTATTGTGAGGGTCTACAAGTTATTATCCTCAGTCCCAGGGAAAAATTGCAGGAATTATAAGTGTAAGTGCAATTTTACTCTAGGACCAAGGATGCAGGTTTATTTCAGAGGTATTGTATGGGTATAGCTTTGGTGCTTGTTTTTCAGAGGCTTTCAACAGACTTGATATCTACCCGAGGGTATTATCTATCATTGGGGGAAATTGTTCAGGATAAAATGATCTGATAGAAGATGAAGTTTGTTTGAATGACTGGGAAGTGCCAGCAATTGTGAAGTGACAAATTAATCTTATATCAGGTACCTGATTAAATTCTTTTATTATCAAAAATTGTGTGAAACTGTAAATCTCTTTATATTCAAAATATTTTGTTTCATGAAATAGGGCTGTAAGCCTTATTTGTGAATACTTGTATTAACAATTGAGAGGATGATATTTTATGATTGATGAAAATTATTCAAGTAATTAATATTCATGGAAGATTTTATTTAAGTTTGCGAATGAGTCTCTTCCAAAACTAGAGGAAAAATTACCCCTCACAAATATAAAGTGATTTATGGTATTTAAGTTCGAATTAGAACATTACCTGCCAATGAGAACTACATCAATAAGTCTTAAGTTACTATATATTTTTGTACATGAAAATACACCTGTGAAAAAATACATGTTTTATTCAAAGTCTCACAAAGTTCTAGCTTGTCTTATCAGAATTGAATTAGTATATGGCTCTGCCCTTGTTTTGAAAGCATTTGGCCACAGTTGGTTACAAAACACACTTCGGTCTCGAATAAACAGATCTAGAAATGGCATCACCTATCGATCAGGTGTGTAAAATGGGAACAAAACAGGAAATGTAAGCATATCTTAGAGACACAGCCAATATCATTTCTTCATCTACATTAGTACAATGTGCTCAATTCCAGAATTTTGTGATCGAAATATTATGATGTGACCAAATGGCAAAATGATGTCTGTGTAGTTTGATGTTTGTTTCGTTACTTTAGTAGCAACTGATTTGAAGACAAAAAACAATTCATGCCTAATTCCGATCCTCTACACATATTGTTAAGATTTTACAAGATATGTTAATTTTGTACTCGGAACAAATAATGTAAAAATTAAATATCAATTATTGGTGACAATCTACGAAATATTTGTTGGTGATTTTTTATTGTTGGATATATTATCTTAAATGTACATTGTATTTTACTAGTAAAAGTGGTTTTTTTAGCTATTCAAATCACCCTCCTTCCCTGGTCTGTTGTCTGCCCGTCCTTCCTAAAACAGTTCTTGTTATCGTTATTTCTCAGAAAGTACCAGAGGGATCTTTCTCAAATTTGATATGTAGGTTCCCTTTGGTCCTTAGTTGTGTATGTGTACTTTTGAGGCTGATCAGATTAACAAAATCGTTGACAGGCAGCCATCTTGGATTTTGAAAAGTTTGTTACCGTTATTTCTCAAAAAGCGCATGGAAAATATTTCTCAAATTTCATATGAATGTTCTTCTTTGTCCATAATTGTGCATGTATCATTTTGAGACTGATTGAAAAAACGAGGTGACCGCAGGGGGTCATCTTGAATTTTGTCATTTCAAGAATATTATCAATATTTCCTATGGAGTACTTTACAGATCTTTCTCATATTGCAATGATCAGTTCTATTTCTTTCACATTAAGTAATAGACATGTAAATATGTAAAACGACAAACTCACATTGAAGGTTGACTTTTATATACAGCAGTATGAAGTTTAGATCATAAGTTACCCCAAGGTGCATTTACTGTTTACATGACTCAATCAAACAGATAACAGAAAAGAAGAGAAAAGATTAAACTGACATAGAACTAATGAAGATGGTACAATGTTTGGATCTCTATAGATATTAAACCACTTCCCCGTGTAGCTATACAGCTAACAACATCATACCACCTGTGTAGTATAATGAACCTACCTGGGCCGCTTTCGTTTGTCGTGTCCCAAACAGTTGGATTGGTTGGACCAGTGTTGACCTTTTATGAAATGAGGTCGGACCCTGTAGTCTGATGCTGCTTTCAGACGAGCCTTGACATAGCCTTGTAAGGCCTCAATAAACGTTTGCAGGTACGCCAGGATTAATACCTGAAAATGTCACATCTATAAACAGACAAACTGGTTGTTCCACATGACCGTACAGGCCCCTGCACAGTTAAACACTTTTCGCTCATAATAATAATATTAATAAAATCTTTTATTTAGACAGGGTGACATATTTAGATTTACATCTAATTTACAATATGGCCCTGTATTACACAATTCACAATGGACATGATACTTACAACGACATACATCATCAACAGATAATAACACTATCAAATGTTCAGATCCTGACAAGTTAAAGTACAAAAGTATTCGTCCCATCTAAAACATTATCTGCAGGTCTTCAATCTTAAAAGACTCAAATTAGGTAAAAATATGCTGTATGCATTCTAAATTGGTCCATAAAATGCTCACATCTATAAAAACAAATAGTGTCAATAAACACATACCTGTTGTACCTTCCTTTTAAACACCTACCCCAGTAGTTAAACACCTACCCCAGCAGTTAAGCACCTACCCCAGCACTTAAACACCTACTCTAGCAGCTAAACACCTACCCCAGCAGTTAAACACCTACCCCAGCAGTTAAACACCTATTCTAGCAGTTAAACACCTACCTAAGTAGTTAAACACCTACCCCATCAGTTAAACACCTACCCCGGTAGTTTAACACCTACCCCATCAGTTAAACACCTACCCCAAGCAGTTAAACACCAACCCCAGCAGTAAAACACCTACCCCAGCAGTTAAACACCTACTCTAGCAGTTAAACACCTACCCCAGCAGTTAAACACCTACCCCAGCAGTTAAACACCTGTCCCAGCAATTAAACACCTACCCCAGCAGTTAAACACCAACTCTCGCAGTAAAACACCTATCCCAGTAGTTAAACACCTATCCCAGCAGTAAAACAACACCTACCCCAGCAGTTAAACACCTACTGTAGCAGTTAAACACCTACCCCTGTAGTTAAACACCTACCCCAGCAGTTAAACACCTACCCCAGCAGTTAAACACCTACCCCAGCACTTAAACACCTACTCTAGCAGCTAAACACCTACCCCAGCAGTTAAACACCTACCCCAGCACTTAAACACCTACTCTAGCAGCTAAACACCTACCCCAGCAGTTAAACACCTACCCCAGTAGTTAAACACCTGCCCCAGCAGTTAAACACCTACCCCAGTAGTTAAACACCTACTCTAGCGGTAAAACACCTACCCCAGTAGTTAAACACCTACCCCCGTAGTTAAACACCTACCCTAGCGGTAAAACACCTACTCTTGCAGTTAAACACCTACCCCAGCAGTAAAACACATACTCTAGCAGTTAAACACCTACCCCAGCAGTTGAACACCTCCTCTAGCAGTTAAACACCTACCCCAGCAGTTAAACACCTGTCCCAGCAATTATACACCTACCCCAGCAGTTAAACACCAACTCTCGCGGTAAAACACCTATCCCAGTAGTTAAACACCTATCCCAGCAGTAAAACAACACCTACCCCAGCGGTAAAACATCTACTCTAGAAGTTATACACCTAGCCCAGCAGATAAACACCTACCCCAGCAGTTAAACACCTACCCCAGTAGTTAAACACCTGCCCCAGCAGTTAAACACCTACCCCAGCAGTACAACACGTACCCCAGCAGTTAAACACCTACCCCAGCGGTAAAACATCTACTCTAGAAGTTATACACCTAGCCCAGCAGATAAACACCTACCCCAGCAGTTAAACACCTACCCCAGTAGTTAAACACCTACTCTAGCGGTAAAACACCTACCCCAGTAGTTAAACACCTACCCCAGCAGTTAAACACCTCCCCCAGCAGTTAAACACCTGCCCCAGCAGTTAAACACCTACCCCAGCAGTACAACACGTACCCCAGCAGTTAAACACCTACCCCAGCGGTAAAACACCTACTCTAGCAGTTAGACACCTAGCCCAGCAGTAAAACACCTACCCCAGTAGTTAAACACCTACCCCAGCACTTAAACACCTACTCTAGCAGCTAAACACCAAACCCAGCAGTTAAACACCTACCCCAGCAGTTAAACACCTACTCTAGCAGTTAAACACCTACTCTAGCAGTTAAACACCTACTCTTGCAGTTAAACACCTTCCCCAGCAGTTAACTCTCTAGCAGTTAAACACCTACCCCAGTAGTTAAACACCTACCCCAGCACTTAAACACCTACTCTAGCAGCTAAACACCTACCCCAGCAGTTAAACACCTACCCCAGCAGTTAAACACCTACCCCAGTAGTTAACACCTACCCCTGTAGTTAAACACCTACCCAAGCAGTTAAACACCTACTATAGCAGTTAAACACTTATCCCAGCAGTTAAACACCTACCCCACCAGTTAAACACCTACCCCAGAAGTTAAAAACCTACCCCAGCAGTTAAACACCTACCTGTATAGATTGACACAACCTCAATAAACACATAACTGTTGTACCTTCCTTATAAACACCTACCCAAGTAGTTAAACACCTACCTCTATAGATTGGCACAACTACAATAAAAACAGATCTGTTGTACCTTCCTTTTAAACACCTTCCTCAATAGATTGACACAACCTCAATAAACACTTACCCGTTGTACCTTTCTTTTAAACACCTTCCCCGGTAGTTAAACGCCTACCTCTATAGATTGGCACAACTTCAATAAACACTTACCTGTTGTACCTTCCTTTTAAACACCTTCCTCAATAGATCGACACAACCTCAATAAACACTTACCCGTTGTACCTTCCTTTTAAACACCTGTACCAGTAGTTAAACCCCTTCCCCAGTAGTTAAACACCTACCTCTATAGATTGGCACAACTTCAATAAACACTTACCTGTTGTACCTTCCTTTTCAACATCTTCCTCAATAGATTGACACAACCTCAATAAACACTTACCCGTTTTACCTTTCTTTTAAACACCTTCCCCAGTAGTTAAACACCTTCCTCAATAGATTGACACAACCTCAATAAACACTTACCCGTTGTACCTTTCTTTTAAACACCTACCCCAGTAGTGAAACACCTACCTCTATAGATTGACACAACCTCAATAAACACATACCTGTTGTACCTTCCTTTTTAACACCTACCTGGTATGCACCTGCCACAGAAGACTTTCATAGTAAAACACCTATCCTGCATTTTAACAACAGGTTACAAAACTTTGAAGTTGATATACACTTACAGGAGTTTTAACATACGTATTTAAATATGCTTTTTCATCTTTTCCCTCGTATTCTATTTGTTAATGAGTAAGTTTATTTTAGTTTAATTTATTCATAAAAAAACTAATAGGCTACAGCAACAAGAAGACGATTCTAAAAGAGAATGTTGCCAGATACTGAACAATGTGTTTTACCGTATATCCATGTGTTTCATCTTATATAAACTTCAGTAGATACATTCATTGACCTTGACCTCGATCCTGTGGTTGTCATTGTAATTAAATATATTTAAACATTTGATTGTGTTCATCACTTATCACTGATATCATTTGATTTAATAAAATATTTTGAAATGATATCTATCTCAATACATCCTGATACTCCGTGGGTCAGGCTTACTTGCGCTCTTTGCACCAATGGAGTATGTCATAGCAAAACTGAAGGCTCACAGTTAACAGTTCATTGGTTTCAGGTTAAAAAATCATGACCAATCACTGGTAGGATGACGCCTGTTCTTTGAAGATTACAGAGCAACGACACCCGATTTCCAAGCCAGTCTTTTTTTTTACTGCTACGCTGCCGCACATTACAGCAAAGGATCTACACAGAGAGCATAAGTGAGCGTATCCCGCCTCAGATCAAGAATTTAGAGCCATGATACTTGGATATGACATGTAGACCAGTAGTGCAAACCTGTTAATGTCAATATGTCGACTTTGAATGCTGACCAGGGTCATCACATATCATGTCTTGTGGATGTAGACCTCCTGTATCGGGACTCTGGGCCTTACGGAACTTAAGAAGATTTTTTCCCCAATACTCAAATCAACCACCGTACAATACAGCCAATGTATGTCTTTGACACCCAATATAGATCTCAAATATCATGGCTCTAAAAAGATAAATACATTTTA